ATAATATAGCAATGGCTATAGTCTTGCCTGTAAATTTAATAGAAAATGGACTTGTCTTGGTCGATTTTTTAATCGGGTTATGAGGGTTCTGAAAGATTACAGTCTGAAGTTGAGAAAATTATGCTACTTGATTATATTAGGAGGTGCAATAGACGAACTATCAGAAATTTTAGCACAAAGACTATAGTCTTGCCTTAAAATTCATACGAAGTCGACTTCGCTATTTATTAAGAAGTAGGGATTTACGTGTACCTATTGTTTTTCTCTTTGTCTACTTTTAAATGACAAAAATGTCTAATTTTATGGAATCTAAATAACGTCTTAAATCAAATAAAGAGCTGACTGTCATATTAATTAATTTGAATATTGTCGCTTTGGCTTGACAGAAAATAATCTCTTACTCTCCTTAAACTGTTACCTGCACTATTCCAATTGAAAATATCAATTTTTTTCAGTTGAATACATCGCATATTAACAAAAATAAAAATCCAGAAGTTATTTTAGTTGCATACAATTACGCGCCCTTCAGAAAAGATTTTGTCGCTTTAAAATCCCTATGTCTACTTCTTATTTCTTAATAAATAGCGCTGTATATTCAAGCAAAGAGTTTGGTTACCCTTTGATTCAATTAACTAAATTTTACAAATACACGATAATAGAAGCAATAGACTACCTACCTTTCTTTATTCTTGATGCAGCATCCTGCATATCTGATCAAAAATTTACGAAAGCCATATAGCGTGCATTTTCGATGCCATATCGTAATACACCCACTTGTGGTGCTACCATTTATAATCCATCGGAAACTAATGGAACATCGGGGAAAAGGCCATCACTAGGAAGTATCAAGTATCAACTACCCTGTAATAATTTAACGAATTTAATTTCAAGCCCATTACTAATTTTGCAATCATTACAAATTATCCAATCTAACATTCTCAATTTTAGACGATAGTACCTATTATCGAGATTAAACCTCGGCCTCGTCTCGAAAATAGTTTCATCTCGACGGCATCACTCAGTTTTATTTTCTTGATCGGTTATATCTGCAGGATCTATAAGCAACCCTTTGATTGGCATCTAAAATTAAATCCTTTCCCGCCTTGAAATCTTGTAGTTTTAAAGAAAATTCGCTCTTATATAGCAACAATCTGCAATTGCGGGGGTTGCAAGTTAGGGGTACATTCAATAAGCAACCCCCTCTGACTGGCAATAATAATCACTTCTGCAGTAGACTTACTGTCAACCTGTGAAGCCTATGAAAGGCCTCCAAACTCTAAAACACCATAAAAATCGTTGGTCTTTTTGAAACTATTCGATTCGATTTCGAATTTTAATTTTCCTACATTTCTGCGTGTTTGAAACTTTAAGACCTCTAAATCAACATTCATCTTTATTCATCAACATAATCATATTTAAGAGCTACAATCATTCCAATGCTGATGTAACTTTTCGATACCACCCTTGTAAAACGATTTGCCTGTCTCCTCAAAATAAGCTTCAGTTGCAGCCATGACGTCACTAGATTGATGTGAAAATCAGACACGCGTCTTCGAAGGTTTTTTCGAGTTGTTATTACTAGCGCTATCTATGGATTATTATTACTATTATATTTATGGATTAGTCCTGAGACTTATTGAACCATATATTACTATTGAACAAAAAACTAAATAGACAGACAATGCTATGCTTTTTCAAGGGATCAGCTTAACGGAGTTTCTCCGCAGGATTCCCCCTAGAACGAACTCCGCTTTTTAAACGAAGTTTTATACCAGCTACTCAATTGATTCAACGCGGTTAGATTTCTTTAGATGACACTACATTCGCGACACTAATCATTGTATTTATATTCGTTTATAAATACAATGCTATAATGTAGACCAGGGATTCCCAAAGTGGTCGTTATCGACCTCCGACGGTCGAAATCGGTTTCCCATGGGTCGACATAAACGAAAACTGACTTTGGAGCAGAGCTGGGCAGAATAGTTAAGTATTTGAATACTAAATAGTAAATACTTTACACAAATCAAAGGTATTTGAATACTAAATAGTTTTACGTCCAGCATAAGCGAATACTAGATACAGATACATTGAAAAGTATTCAAATACTTAAAAAAATAAGTATTCAAATACTTTAGAATGTATTCGAATACTTTGAAAAGTATTCGAATACAGTAAAAAGTATTCAAATACTTGTCACTCAAATACATTAAAAATTTAAAATAGTATACTAGATAAAAGGCTTAATACTACTTAAAAAATCAAGTTATACTTTGTATGGGGTTAGCTTTTTTTATATTTCTATTGTTATATACAAATTTAAGGGGAGTAAAAGCGTATTATTATTATTATATTATTATATAGGAGGTACCTATCAGGATCTTTCTTATACCCGTTATATTCTTAAGAATACGCGTACCAGTTTTTAAAGCGATCGTACGTCGTGCACATGATACGTACGCCTTTCTGAAATTAACCCTAGCGATTTTGGAACAGATCCATTTTTGAACATCCGTTTGTCCGTGTGCATGATAACTTGTTTAGAAACGTGGATCGCTTTGAAAATTGGTACACATGGTTTTAAGGATATAATAAAGGTCCCTATTGTTTTTAAGTTACGTAGACTATCGAGTTCGGTATTCAGATGTATCGGATTTTTATATTTGATTTTGTGACAATGGAAACTTTCCCTAAACATTTCTAAATTGTTCTCAAATATTTGAATAACTTAAAAGTATTGCCTTTTTTGAGGCCGGAAAAAAAATTGTCTGAGATCGAATCGATCGGGAGTCCATAATTTCAAATAGTTTGAAGATTGGGCTACTAGATCAAAAGTTACAGCCCTTTGAATTTTCTTTCGAAATTGGTTTCTAGTCTATAACTTTTGATTGAGAAGTCTGATCGAAAAAGTACGAATTGTTTTGGATTCTACGAACCAAAATTAATAAGAAAAAGTGTTTTCCCGAGAAATTTTGGTGCAGTCGATTTTTGGTAAAAAAGGAAGGTTATACACTGCCTTTTTTTGAGGCCCTCAAAAAAAATTGTCTCAGATCGACCCGGAAAAAAATTTTCTTATAGAATGTGACCTGTAGAATCCATAATTTCAAACAGTTCCAAGATTGGGCTTCTAGTTCAAAAGTTACAGCCCTTTGAATTTTCTTTCGAAATTGGTTTCTAGTCTATAACTTTTGATTGAGAAGTCTGATCGAAAAAGTACGAATTGTTTTGGATTCTACGCACCAAATTAATAAGAAAAAGTGTTTTCCCGAGAAATTTTGGTGCAGTCGATTTTTGGTAAAAAAGGAAGGTTATACACTGCCTTTTTTTGAGGCCCGCAAAAAAAATTGTCTCAGATCGACCCGGAAAAAAAATTTTCTTATAGAATGTGGCCTGTAGAATCCATAATTTCAAACAGTTCCAAGATTGGGCTACTAGTTCAAAAGTTACAGCCCTTTGAATTTTCTTTCGAAATTGGTTTCTAGTCTATAACTTTTGATTGAGAAGTCTGATCGAAAAAGTACGAATTGTTTTGGATTCTACGCACCAAAATTAATAAGAAAAAGTGTTTTCCCGAGAAATTTTGGTGTAGTCGATTTTTGGTAAAAAAGGAAGGTTATACACTGCCTTTTTTTGAGGCCCGAAAAAAAAATTGTCTCAGATCGACCCGGAAAAAAAATTTTCTTATAGAATGTGGCCTGTAGAATCCATAATTTCAAACAGTTTCAAGATTGGGCTACTAGTTCAAAAGTTACAGCCCTTTGAATTTTTTTCCGAAATTGGTTTCTAGTCTATAACTTTTGATTGAGAAGTCTGATCGAAAAAGTACGAATTCATTTGGATTCTACGCACCCAAATTAATAAGAAAAAGTGTTTTCCCGAGAAATTTTGGTGTAGTCGATTTTTGGTAAAAAAAGAAGGTTATACACTGCCTTTTTTTGAGGCCCGCGAAAAAAAATTCTCAGATCGAACCGGAAAAAAAATTTTCTTATAGAATGTGGCCTGTAGAATCCATATTTTCAAACAGTTCCAAGATTGGGCTACTATTTCAAAAGTTACAGCCCTTTGAATTTTCTTTCGAAATTTGTTTCTAGTCTATATCTTTTGATTGAAAAGTCTGATCGAAAAAGTACGAATTGTTTTGGATTCTACGCACCAAAATTAATATGAAAAAGTGGTTTCCCGAGAAATTTTGGTGCAGTCGATTTTTGGTACAAAAGGAAGGTTGTACACTGCCTTTTTTTGAGGCGCGGAAAAAAATTGTCTCAGATCGACCTGGAAAAAAATGTTTCTTATAGAATGTGGCCTGTAGAATCCATAATTTCAAACAGTTCCAAGATTGGGCTACTAGTTCAAAAGTTACAGCCCTTTGAATTTTTTTTCGAAATTTGTTTTTTTGTCCATAACTTTTTATTGAGAGGTCTAATCGAAAACGTACGAATTGTTTTGGATTCTACGCACCAAAATTAATAAGAAAAAGTGTTTTCTCGAGAAATTTTGGTGTAGTATATTTTTGGTAAAAAAGGAAGGTTATACACTGCTTCTCTCCCTTCGAGCAGGGGAAGATGAAAATGTGGGGCTACTTCAGACAGAATCATTAAGCGCTTGTGAAGCAAGCAAGAGTTTTCCTTCACCCACATCAGCCACACAGCAACAAGTTCCAGTAGCCGTCGACAAGGGCGCCACCATCCAACATCATCCGAAATAGTATAACAAGTTGCCTAACTTCTCAACTACCTACTAACATACATACAGGGTCAGGGAGTTAATAGCCCCCGACGTCAATAACCTCCCAATTTTATCCCTAATTAGCACTTATTAAAAATCTGTGTTTTAGCCATTGTCCGGCGCCAAACAGCCCCCAAAGAGGTAGGCAACCCACTTAAGGACTATGTAGGTCGCTACGTTTTTGTTATTAATCTAAAGTCATCATCAGGCCAAATTTTGGAAAATAATTTTTTTACAAAGAATGTAATCATGGAATTAGTTTAAAATCAGATAAATCCATATAACATAAACGTTTAATTAAAATATGTACAGTTTCTATAAAATTTAATAATACATTCATTTGACTAGCAAATCAGGCAACTCTCGTATAACAAACTGAACAGTTAATTAATTGACCCATTTTGGCGTGCAGCAACATTAAAAACTATACAACGAATTTTAACAATTTTCCAAATCAACAACAAAATTGGTGCATTAAAAATGTACGTAGACATTAACAACACATTTTTTTACACATTCCACAATAAGTATATAGTACTATAAAACTCTAAGCCTATATAAAAGATCCAAATACAGTTTGTATCTATTAAAAAATATACTATTACAATTCTTGCGAGTTTTCCGTAGATCCATGTACAGATAACAAGTTTGAAAGTAATTTGTCATTGTGTAGATTTTCGACTAGACTTAGTACGGATGTGTTGTTGTTAGAACCGTCGACTGTCACTCCTATCAGCATGTGAGGTGAAAGACTGTTGGACGTACGCGCGGGACTCTGAGTGTAGGGACCGGACATAAAAGAATTGTTCGACCCTGGACTGGTTTCCGGAATGTTAATTAAACTATTGATGTCGGACTGTTTCGAACTTAAAGAATGAGTGTCTAGGGCTTGTAGCGTGTCTGACGGTGTCGACGGCGCCGAGTCGATCGGTGTCATGCACTGACTAGGTTGATACTCAAATAGATCGCAGTTCTGTCGTTTATCCGTACGCACCTGCTCCAGGAATAGCTTTATTTTGTTCAGCATAAACGGCGGCGCTTCGAAACCCTGTAATTCGTTCAACTGTAAATTGGGGTTGTTGCGGTAATCGTCGTTGAGTGCCAACTCCTGGATATCCTCCAACAGCATTAGGTAAGCCCTACCGCCGCTGGGCGGCATCAAGTTTTTCGAGGCAAGCCACTCTTTGTCTTCCGGATCGCTGCAATACCGTAGAACTTCGGGGTGTCGTACGTACAGCCGACCGCGAGTCTGTCCAAATCCCAACACCTTGTTGGCTCTTGCTCCCATTATAAACAGGGTGTTTGGGTGAATTCGTTCAGGATCCCACTTCGGTCCCTCCCGTTTGTCGGGCAACTTCTGAGACATGTTGTCGCATTTCACCGTTTTTGCCTTGTAACGTTTGTGATTGATGACATAACCAGTCTCCGAGTCGGTGTCGGACTCTTTACGCTTGTAATGCACCGGACTCTGCAACATGAACGTTAATCAGCTTTGAATATGGTATTAAATGGGTCAATCGTAAAGTGAATTTCGAAGATAAAATTGCGCCACAGTGTGACAAAGATACCTTGAAAGAGGCATGAGGAAGTCAGGCTATGCAAGTGGTATTGGTCCACTACCGATTTTAAAAAACCTTATCACTAGTGGCAAATAGCTACATTTCAATAACACCGAGACTGCTGCAAGCAGGCCCGCTAATTTGTTGGCATACAAGAGCCCTTAATTTTGGTGCTACAGCACTGCAGGGCACATTTAGATCTAAAATCTTTCTAGCTCTTCTTTAGTAAACTGATAGACATCTGAACGACAAATGATATACTCTTTTAAAACATCTATACCAAAGGGTAATGTGATTCGTGCGAGAATTTTGTCTCTTAAAAGATAATTGTGTATTTTGCAATCAATAAATAAAGAGATCGATCCTTTCCTGTATTGTGTTTCTACCCATTTAACACAGTCTTCCATAGAATAATGTACATTGCCTCTCGACTCCTTCATGCCATCTTTTTCTTTGGCAATTCTGTTACCATCTTACACCAAGGCTTGGAAGTTACCTACCACTTGTTCTATACGACTATCAATAAGACTCCCACCTTCCGAATCACTGTAGTCGTACGGCGAACTGTCACGAGAAGACGGCGAGACCTTGTACATTAACTTCGCTTCCTCTAGCATTTGTTGGCACACATTTTTAATTAACTCCTCATTAACACTATTTTTACCGAGATTCATTCTAATATTCGCGACGGCCGGTTGGAAGAATTTCTGAAAATCGATGCTTAGAAAAGATACGAACAACACTGGCATACCTCAAGGTACTTCTTAATAACATTATCGATATCCTTATTAATAGCACTTTGTAAATTCTTCCTCAGCAAATCCAACGACTTTGTAGGACTCGTAATACAACCGGTGCTCATGTAAGTCAAGTTCCCATTGCGTGCTCCGAGATGGGATGCCGCAAGATTCATCAAAGTCACCTGTCTCATATTAAACGTGTTTTTCTAAAACACGGACGGACAATTACCGCTTGCAACATGCAGATTAGACGATCGCTTACCCAACCGACCATGTTTTGCTGTTCGTCTAATTGTCCTGGAGCAAGTGGTGGTATCATTATTACTTCTACTTGTTTAATATTATGCTCTCATTCGGTTTTTAGTCTAGAATGGAAAACCTAACCTCTCTTCACATATTCCTTTGTTTTCTTAATCTTTAAAGACAGTCTAAAATGCTTAATGAACACAATTGTCTGGATTTGTCCAATAATTTAAGAGTTATGTTCTACATGATACACCAGTTGTATTTATAAATAATGAAACTATTTGTTATCAAATTCTGCCATTTGGGGAAGCTGTCAGCTGTCAAATTGAATGTTGACAACCATTGACAACTTTTCATTGGTTGACAATTTACATGGAAGCATTCAACTACACTCACATTTATTTACAGGATGTTACAAAAGCTTCAGCAACCGTTTATTTGCTAATTTCATAAGGCTTTTTGCTCTACGTATTAATTTATGACTATTATGATAATTAATGATACAGAGAAGGAAAGATGTTATTTCTCAATTTCCCAGATAAAAAAAGCTGAGGCAAAATCTGGGAGACATCGATTCAACTCGAGAAACGACGTAGTCTCCCAGGCACGCTATAGGTTAACTTGGAATTGAGTCTTTGCTCTTGATCCGGACGGTTTAGCCAAGACTCTACAGTCGTCATCTACACAATATTCCCTAGTCACGTTCTGCTAGAGTCGCTGAAGTGCAAATAACGCACAGTCGTCCGCTACCAGATGAGCAAGAGTACCATTAACCTGGTGTTAGCATAGACCATCGGCCTTACCATGTCGAGGCGCTTTTGGGTCCGTATTCTTCAATTTCTGGGAGAAGAACATCTCCGGGAAGTGAGTGTGGTTTACCTTAAAACGATGAATGCCATATTCTTGGAGACGTGACTTCGGACGTGAACGTTTCAGGCGCGAGTTCCAAGTTCCCCTCCTTTTAACGCAACAGAAAACGAACTCCCACTTCAATTTGTTCATTAATTTTACCGGAGGTGGAAGTGAGCTATCCCGGGAACGTTTCTGGGAATGCTTCTTTCGCAGACGCGATGAATACGGCGCCCCGTAGAGAATCAGTGTTTTCAGTGACTCCTTTTATCAGCCACGAACAAACTTTTGGTATAGCGTTCCCTAGCTGATTCCCCATTCGGCCAACTAAAGCAGCACTCCTTAAGAAAAATCAACTTTTTATTACGACTATAAATTATTTATAAACCATTTGCAGTTAATGCCGTTTGGAATTTATGGATGCAGGATGGGCAGACATACGCATTTTATTCTTTATTCAAGTATAATGTTGGGGGCAGGGGGGAAGAAGAGTACAATCGATGACCGCACGAGGTTAATATTTGGTTTCGATAAGCTTCGTAATGACTTAATGAGCGATGGGTCATTGTTTTCTATGACACAATCGCGACACGATTTCCGTTCAGAGTACCAAGGTTGTGGCCTTGATTATTGTTGATAAGGAATCTCACTAATTCGCCTTTCTGATATCTTTAGCCTTAGTCTAATTAGTAATTTGAATGAAAACGATTATGTCCGCCAATACCTACAGGATGTTTGCCTTAGATGCAAACTTTAGGCACTACGCCTATGGTCTCAGGTGTGTGCGAAAGAGCGGTAAATTTGAATGAAAAGGTCACTAGATAAGTACAGGTAATTGCACTGAGGAATGTTTATTGTAATTGTGAGCTACTTTTGTATTAACAATTATAAGAGAGATAAAAATAGCGAGACTTAAACCGCAAACGACTGATAACCTTTGGAATTATTATCGCTTTAACCCCACTCTTACCTTTACAATTTTGTGGGATTAATTCGCTTTCGCCTCTCCCTTTATAATAGGAAGCAAACGAGCAAGTCATCACTTATCTATTGCCACTCGTGCCTATTTCTACGTGCTTTCGAATAATTAACAGGTAAGCCTTTAATTAACGGTACCTATCTCCCAAACGTCAAAGTGTTAAAGACTAATTTTTGCAGGTAACAAAATGGCAAAAATTAAGGTGGGTCCTGTCGTCGATATTCTGGGTGATGAGATGACCCGAATTATATGGGACAGCATTAAGGAGAAGCTAATTTTGCCATTCTTGGACATCGAACTTCACATCTACGACCTTGGCATGGAAAATAGGGATCTGACCAACGATCAAGTAACCATAGACTGTGCAAACGCAATTAAAAAGTATAATGTGGGAGTCAAGTGTGCGACAATCACGCCCGACGAAAAACGGGTTGAAGAATTCAAACTGAAGCAAATGTGGAAGTCGCCGAATGGAACCATTCGTAATATACTGGGCGGTACCGTATTCAGAGAGGCGATTATTTGCAGCAACATTCCTCGGCTGGTTACCACATGGAAGAAACCAATTATTATCGGTCGTCACGCACACGCCGATCAGTATAAGGCGACCGATTTTGTCGTGCCCGGATCTGGTACGTTGGAGCTCGTGTTTACCCCGTCTTCGGGGTCAGAAATTCGACACACGGTACATGAATACAAAGGGCCAGGAATTGCACTGGGAATGTTCAATACTGATGAGTCTATTGTCGATTTTGCACATTCTTCCTTTAAGTATGCTTTGGAACGTGGCTACCCTCTGTATCTGAGCACAAAGAACACAATTCTTAAAAAGTAAGTATGTCCCCTGTGTAACAATTAAGTATGGGTGGTAGGGGACAATACTGTGAGCATTATTATTATTATTATTCTGGTATTACAAGGCCTTTTGTTCACATTTCAATAGAGGAGACATAGTTGAATCTTTTGCCAAAATTGCAAGCCCAAATAACTGTCCCTCTCTCTCCAGTAGAAGAGGCAGCAGAACAGTATTTGTTTGTGTAGGCATTTTGGACCCTTAATAGTTTATTCACAAAAATTGTGTATTGTCATAGATATATAATAATAATCGATTGTGACAGGTACGACGGTCGTTTCAAGGATATTTTCCAAGACATCTACGAAAAACAGTACAAGAAACAGTTCGAAGCCAAGAACATTTGGTACGAGCACAGATTAATCGACGACATGGTCGCCTACGCAATGAAATCCGAAGGTGGCTTCGTGTGGGCCTGCAAAAACTACGACGGTGACGTTCAATCTGACTCGGTCGCGCAGGGCTACGGCTCTCTAGGTTTGATGACCTCGGTTTTGATTAGCCCGGACGGAAAGACCGTCGAAGCCGAGGCCGCCCACGGTACGGTAACACGCCACTACCGCTTCTACCAAAACAAACAGGAGACCTCGACTAATCCCATCGCGTCGATATTCGCGTGGACACAGGGACTGCTGCATCGGGCGAAACTCGACAATAACGCTCCATTGAAGAAGTTCGCCGAGACTTTGGAGGCAGTGTGCGTCGAAACCATCGAGTCCGGTTACATGACGAAGGACTTGGCCATTTGCATCAAAGGCATGAATGGCGTTACACGATCTGATTACATGGAGACGTTCGAGTTTATGGATAAACTCGCGGAAAATTTGAGAAAGAAGCTTGGGGTGTAAAGAAAAGCGGTATTATTTTATGTCAATTTTACTATGAACAGTATTGTCGGATGTGGGTTTTTAATTGTGGCATGCATTTTCCTATGTTTTGTATCGAAAATTTAATATATTATCACGGATTTCTTGTTTTTGATTGCAATGTGATAATCTGTATGAAGTTCCAAGTCCGCAATAGAGAGTGACGTTTTGCCTTATCAACTGTCTGCGAAACAGTTGACCATTGACCTGACACACTCTATTTGAATTGGAGTAATCCGTCCTCAAAAGATAAGCAGAATTTCCAAATTAGCCTACATAGATAAATAAGTTAAGCAATTATTAATTACGTGTAATTTGAACGGGTTTAAAAGTAATACCAATAAACAAATGAAAAAGGTTTGCTTTTACTAGAAGAATTTTTGGTTTTAAAATTAAAAAAAAATACGAAAGTCAACATTGCGCATGTGCACATCTTGTATGACGATATGCGATATGCTTGCCTTTATCTGGATTAAGATAGGAGGGTGAACAGTGTCCACGCGTACTTAGGCCTCAAATTCGGGCCCTTTGTACTACCTCCCTGACTAGGGTCGCCCGACCCCTCAACGTCACTCAAGTCATCCCACACGTGAGATGAAACTTAGGACGCTGGAAGGGGAGGCGGCTCTAATCGTAGCCATGTCCGGCCAGGATTCCCCCAACATGGATCGTCTCAGTTGGACTAGAGCGGGACATTCACAGAGTATGTGGTGTGCCGTCTCGTTGTCTGTGTAACATTCTCTACAAGATGGTGATTCCACCAAACCCATGCAGTGCAGGTGCTTGTTTAGTTTACAGTGCCCAGAAAGTATGCCCACGAGTAACCTCAGGTTTTTCCTTGATAGCCTTGTACAAAAACGCGCCAAGCTGCGATGGTCCTGTGAAGGCTTCTCTCGCATGGCGACAATCTAACATCAAGTTCCACCTAGCCCTGTGCTGGGTTTGGGTGTCTTGAGTTATTAGGTTGTTTACAGTTGTAACTGTAAGTGGAAGAGCCGGCTCTGGACCATAAAACGCCTGTTTTGAGGCCAGTCGGGCTAATTTATCGGCTTTCTCATTACCTTCCGTTCCAGCATGCCCTTTGACCCGTACGAGCTCAAGGGTGTTGCTGCTTGCTACTTGCTCTAGTACATGGTGACATTCGAAAACCATCCTAGAGGTAATTTTACAGTGACCAAGTGACTGCAAGGCAGCCCTTTTTGTTCTTTATGTTATGCATAAGAACTGTTCTTGCACTAAGCGTTAATCCGACCAACTCTGACTGGAATACAGTAGGAAGTTTACCTAGTGGTTGGGTGATATGGAAGTTCAGTTCTTTGGAGTAAATACCAGTGCCTGTTCCTTCCATTGTCTTAGATCCATCCGTGAAGATGAATATATCTGGTTGGGATGCCATGTTCTCATCAAAGAAGATGTGATAGTTTTTCCCTAATATGAATTGAGGAGTGAGTGAGTCCGATCTCCCCTCTAGGATAGGCAGTCGCTTGATCGCCTCGCCCAGAATTCGGGAGTGGCCCCCCTCAATGCCTCTGCTATTCAACAACCCCTTATTTTTCAGACGCAGGAATTCCTCTCTCACGTGGAGATCTAGTGGAGGCAGATCCAAGAGGGCCCCCATGACGGCTGTGGGGGTCGTTCGCATTGCGCCTGTGCAGGCAAGGCACGCTAGTCTTGCACATGATTAAGGAGTGCTACAGTTGTGGAGAGTCTGGTTCTAGGCCACCAGACAATTGCTCCATAACAGAACATAGGTCTAATCACGGCAGTGTACAGCCACAGGACCGCCTTCGGGGATGGTCCCCAAAGTTTGCCAATAGCGCGCGGCGACTTTGCCAGAAAGCCCTATTTGCTTTTTCCGCTTTAAGCTCGATATGTTTGCTCCAATTCAGTTTTTTGTCGAGTGTGATTCCTAGATATTTCACTGACTCTGAAAATTGGAGGTGTTTTTGGAATAGCAGGGGAGCTCGAATACCCTCTACCTATAAATATGGATCGATCACAGTCTGGCTTCGGGAAGTTACGAACGTAGGTTCACTGCCTTGATTGAGAATCTCTAGATTAGTGCTTGTCAAATATTCGAGTAATGATTTACCCCTAGGGTTGACTAAAGTCACTAGATATATATTTATATTTATTTAGATATATTTAGTGACTTTAGGGTTGACGTTAGCGCTCCCCCATATGGTATGGTGAGCGTTTGAGTCGCACTCTATAATGAGGTGTTTGTTGTTTTTCTCACAGTGTTCTACCATCCCGTTACTGGGAGGTAGGTTGACAGAATCTCCCGGGAGATAAACTGATGCTATTACTACTTGAGCTTTTCCTTGCATGTCACAGCTTAACTGTATGGTCGTGATATCAAGTCCACACAGGTGTGGCAGCAGAAGAGCTTTAAAGTGACTAGGGACATAAATACACGTTCTAGGTTTTTCTTGCCGTGTGTCAAAGAAAACGGTTCCTTTTGTGCCCCCAAGGCCAGAAACCCTTGATTTAACAACCCAGGGTTCTTGAATGAGGGCAATGTCCTGCTTTACAGTGAGGCGTCTGCCTAGGCTTACAGCAGCCGTCCTACAGTGTTGCAAATTTGTTTGTATAAAATTCTCTTTCATACTTATGTATGTAAACAATATGTGTTTATTACTTATCCGGCGTTGCTGGAATCGTACTCCAACAGCGCCTCAATATTCGCGAACTCCTCCCAGTTCGAAATCGGCCCGGGCGAGTTGCTGACACTGGAGCACGCATCGACCACAGGGTTGCTTGCCTTTATTAGAAGCATCAGTGGTTAAAATTTCAAAAGTCCTATAAGCGTTTTCAGGAGGCCTCTTAGATTCAATACAATACCGCAAGTAGTTAGTGTTATAATGTCTTGAAAATTTGAATTTTTAATGTATAATGAAGTCATAATATGTAGGCAACCCGGCATATTCGATGTTCACGTTTTTTTTATTTATTATATAGAACATGACGAACGCTATCTGGGGTAACAGAAGAAACTTTAAGAAAGTCATTGGGTTATTGCACTTTCTCATTGGCTAAGTATGTTATGGCGTTAAAGTCGGTTCCTGTAATTTCCTTGTTGAACCAACATTAGATGTCGGAATGAAACTATTTTTGGCCGCATATTTTGGCAGAATTTCTAATTTTAAACAAAACAGTATTTTACAAAATCGAATATACTACAAATAAAGGGTTCCACCAATGTTGTGACAATGGTTTTTTAATACAACCTTCTCTATTTGGCGAAATGTGCTTTAAAAATCCATCGAAAACAGCTAAACTTAAACAATTTTGATCAATACTATGTAACCATTCTTCGAGTAAATTTCACCCTATAAAAAAGACTAAGTAGAGGATGTAAAACATTTATTTAATACATAGATACACATAAAACTGTTGACCAAGGACCACACATTAGCTTTTCAACATTCACACCACTAAAATCATAAAGAAACTCCATCTTATAAACATTTTCTTTGCGAATTACATCTGTCAATTGGCAATACTTATTCCATCCTGCACCATACAACTTCCGGTTACCTGCAAGGCAAAAGATCTGGTAGAAATCACTGGGTACACAATTCAACTTACTCAAAAATACAACCGTGTGCCGTCTGCCGCAAGCAACATCCACCACGTTGAGCTGAATATCATCATCAAAATTGATAATATGAGGGCAGGCCATCACGGCTAACGCAATCTTCTCGTCATTGTAAATGCCCAACTGTCCGTTTCCGTTCCAACCCCAACTGTACAAATCACCGTCGACGCTAACAGCGCACGAATGCCAGCCGCCTGCTGCGATTTTTTTAATTTTTATGCCATCCAGAGCGTCTATCAGCTTGGGTTCGTCTTCGTCGGCTAAACTGCCATGACCTAATTGACCACGACTTATCTATAGGTAGTACAAAACGTGGTGCACTTAACCTACCTGCCACGTCCGAAGCTGTATACCCTTCCTGATTCGTCCAACAGTAGGCAATGTTCACAGCCGGTAGCCATGTCAATTATACGTCGATTAAACTCCAATTGTAAGGGTAGGTTGAAAATGCTTCCAGATGAATCTAGTGCAATGGCGAGCTTGTTTCCAAATGCAATTTTAGAGATGTTCCTAGAGAGTTCGACCCATGTGGACTTTGTTAGGTCGTATTTGAGTAGAACCCCATTCGTTGACAATATTAAACATCTGCTGTCGATACCGAGAGCCTTTTGTGCCTTAAATTCATTTGGCAGGGGAAGTTGAGTGCGTTTGTGGTTGTTGAGCATAAATACACCCCCATCCTCAATTGTGAGGTTATACGTGTGACCAGGCGTAAAAGCCCTTGCGCGGTCATACGTGCACTCCACGAAATTCCTTATAATGTTACTGGAACACTCAAATTGACGGTACAAATTAAAACCACAACAAAACAATTTCATTATACACTTTGTTATTGATTACTTGTCATTGTCGGTGCCTGTACGCGCTGTGAACACACGTAAGCCGAGCCGAAGCAAAAGCTCCAAATTCGTGCCTTAAATAAACCCCAAACCGAGCGTTAATTATTGAAAGAATGGTAAGCGTTTGAAATTCGCACTCATTTTCATATAATTTCCATTAAAAATTTCAAATTAATTTTTTCGTGATGTTACACGAGCCGTTGCCATGACAACTCAAATGTGAAGGTAATACCAACTTAAATATTTTAGGGACTATTGTCGCTACTGCGGAAGTTGCGATCGTCACCGGAAAAGGATCTCAGGCTGCTACTGTTGGGATTGGATAACGCGGGAAAGACGACGATTTTGAAAATGCTGGCATCGGAGGATATCACGCACGTTACGCCGACGGCGGGTTTTAATATTAAGTCGGTAATTTCGGACGGATTCAAACTGAACGTTTGGGATATTGGCGGGCAAAAGAAGATAAGGCCTTATTGGAAGAACTATTTCGAGAATACTGATGTTTTGGTACGTGCACATCATTTTGAAAGTGTACGTTACACTTATTCTATTTGATAGTTGTATTTCATGTAGAAAATGGCGTCTTCTATTAATTGGTATCTATTTTAAACGCGGCATTTTCTATCTTAGGTATAATATAAGTTGCTAAAAACGCTTCTAGACGCTTTTCGAGAGCAATCTGAATTTCTCCAGATCCTGGTAAACGCTTTCCAGAGCTTTATAGTACCAGCAAAGAGTTTACTCTTTGGTACCAGTTCAAAGCAGTCTATCTGTTTCTTATGTCGACCCCATATTTAAGGCCATAGGTACCGCAGTACCAGCGTAAAGCATTTTCAGGGCGTTTTACGTTTCTTGCACAACTTTTAAGAGCTTTTTACGTCTTTTACAGGACCGTATGGCTCAAATCAGGTACTTTTCCAAAGCACTCAAACGTTCTCAGACCCTCCTAGACGCTTACCAAAGCTTTTCAACTTCCATACTAGGGGTATTCACTATTCATGCGCTACTGTGGCTTTCTTTTGGCATTTCAGGATGCATTTAGAGTTCTTAAAAGACCTTTATAACGCATTTTTACATTACGCTATGAAGAATAAGTTTCAGAGCCTTCTAGGTAGTTTGGACCCCTTTCAATGGCTGTTTGTTTCCCTGATACGCCGTTCACATGGCATTTTGGAGCTTGTCATTCCTAAAAATAAAGGATTCATGGCTTTAGCTGTTTTAAATTGGTTTTGTTATAGTTGTAGGTATTATGAGGGGGCTTAACTCCAACTTGTCTCTAGCTCTAGCTCTTTGTTTCGTTGAATAATGCGCAATTGTTATGTTTAGATTTACGTTGTCGATTCGTCCGACAAAAAACGCTTGGAAGAGACCGGCTTGGAGTTATACGAGCTGTTGGCCGATGAAAAGCTAGAAAATGTGCCCTTGCTCGTCTACGCCAACAAGCAAGACCTACCTGATTCGTTAACGGCGTCCGATCTAGCCCAAGCTTTAGGTCTGCCAACTATCAAAGACAGAGCGTGGCAAATACAGGCGTGTACCGCTTCCCAGGGAATTGGTGTACGCGAAGGCATGGAGTGGGCTTGCAAGAGCATTAAGAAGTAAACAGAATTTTATCATACGAAATCTATCCGTCCACTACGTATTTGAAGCAATTTTATTGTGAATGAACTATATATCGTCTTATGCAAATTGATTTTTAAATAAAAGGCATGTTTCGCTTATTCTTTCAATGAGCGACCTTTTTCCAGCTTGCGCCATATTTCAAAAGCTGCCTTTGAATTTAAAATTTCTAAGTAGGAATGATTATTACTTCATTCGGGTTAAGTAATTAAGGGTTGACACATAAGGATTTAGCCACACTACTATTTGAAGAATTAGCAGAAGGGTTAGGTATATATGCAGATTTAATTCTACCCACACGATTTGAAAAATTACTGTAGAAACACCCCTAAATTGAACTTGTTCGTCCTCATTAACGTTTACATAATTAAAAAAACTTGAAAACTATTTCTAAAAGAATGAAGTGTAAGGGTATATAAACTTTATTTGCGTTACCTAATTGAGGGTTGATATATTTAAGTTCCAGGCAAGTTATAGTTTACCTGTAACCTGTCCAAGAATTTGTGTAGAAATGATAGTTATTACAATCCAACGTACATTTCTCAAGACGATTTCCATAAGGGTTTTTATAAAGATTTTTTAAAGGATTCTACGGGAATTCCAAGGCAAACTCTAAAAGGAACCTTTTCTGCGAAGAAAATTCTGCAAGTTAAACTCCTGAGTTTCTAAAGAAAAATGTAAAACCTTAAGAATTGTTTTAAGGAAGTGCATTGTCGTGAAGTTTACAATAAATTTCCCATTCTAGAATCCGATCCAATTCTGACTGTGAAATTAGAAATGGATTCCAGGAGTAGATCTTTTTCAACCGCCTTTGAATAAATTAGATACAACATGCACTAATCGGTTATCGATGTCAAGTCTGAATTAACCACCCTTAATTGTTCTGAAGGGCACGTTAAATATAGGAGTTTGATTACTTCTGAAATTTCAAGCAAAATGTAGAATTTGGAACTTATAAAACTAACTTCACGACAGCACAAAATGCTTAAACTTTTCGACCGATGATTCTAAGAGGATTTATAAGATTCTGAAAATTTTTTTCCCTCAATCTCTACATAAAGTGAAATTCGATGTAGGTAACTACTCGTTTCCTCACGTGTTGAGGCTATTTCTCGTCCACAAATAAAAATTAAAAGAGCAAAAACGTACAATTCTGGGAGTTTGTAAGAGGGTAGGATGCTGTTAATATGGTAGAATCATGGATAGAAGAAAAGAAACGAATAGAATACCGAGTGAATATAGATCGAAGAAAACTAATTTGCGAATATGAATAACATTGCGGAGCAAAAGGAAGAATATTAACAGGGGTAAACAAGGAAGCAGGAAAGACGACTGGAAGTGGAAGAGAAGAAAGTGAGAGTGAGACTTAAAAAATAAAATAGGACATATGGTAGATGAAAGGGAGAAGGAGAGGTTAATATTAAGGGAAGATTATATAACTAGAACAGGGAACAAAGGAAGGTAGAGATTGGAGCAGTGGCGTATTTACGGGGGGGGGGGATAATGGGGGTAACCCCCCCCCCCCCCCCCCCCCGAAGAATTGAGTTATCACCATAGCTATTAGGTATTTAGGTAATACTCCGCTATCCGCTCCGTCCACTTTAAAATAAAGGCAATAATATTTAGGTATATATAGAAAGTTGGTTTTGGTTAAAGTCTAAAGTCACTAAAATTTAAATATTCTGTAGTATTCAGTATTCACTATTCAGTGAGTGATTAGTGTTGGCAGTTGATTGAGACGTCTAATCGAAAAAGTACCAATCGTTTTGGATTCTACGCACCCAAATTAATCAGAAAAAGTTTTTTCCCGAGAAATTTTGGTGCAGTCGATTTTTGGAAAAAAAGGAAGGTTATACACTGCCTTTTTTTGCCCCGAAAAAAAAATTGTCTCAGATCGACTGGAAAAAAATATTTTCTTATAGAATGTGGCCTGTAGAATCCATAACTTCAAACAGTTCCAAGATCGGAGTACTACATCAAAAGTTACAGCCCTTTGAATTTTTTGTCGAAATTGGTTTTTTGCCCATAAACGCCCATAAATATACCTATTATTCAAAGTTTTCGTTGACTAATTAAAGCAAAAGCAATAAAGGGGCCTGTCAGCAGTAAGAAATAAAATACCGTTCTAATCTAACGTTTTTCGCCTGTACAGTAATAAATAGATAAATGACTACCAGCATCAGCAACCTGCAACCCAATTTCTATTTCTTACCCCTCCCCTCTTCTAGTACGCACTGGGTGACTGTATGTGCCACGAACTTTGTTTAATTCCCCCCCAGAATAAATTTCTACGTACGCCACTGGATTGGAAGAGGAACACAAAATAGAAAGTCAAGAGCGGAGAAATATGAAGAAGAAGGCAATAACGTGGAAACAAGTAGGTATACCTACATGAGGGAGGGGGAGATAAAAGAAAGGAGTGACAGGACAGAGAAAAAGACAATACGATGGAAAGAAATACAAATAGAGGACTGGAAGCGGCACTTTATGAATTACTACAGGGAAATCAGGAGAAAGAAGAGGTAACAGACTAACATGGTAGAGAGGAATGGAAGGAGACGAGCTTGCAAGAGAAGAAATTGAGCAGCAATTAAAGAGACTGAAGAAAGAGAAAGCGGCAGAGATGGCATGGATTTTCGCCACAGTATCAAGGAGAAGCTGAAGAAACTAATGAACAAAATATGGAAAGAAGGAGGACTGCCCGAAGAATAAAAGGAAGGAGTAATAGTACCGATTCATAAAAGAGGTGTCAAAGTTTTACCAATACTCGTGGGACTCGCATGGAAGAAGCCGATAAAATAACAGAGGGTGGTGCCGCTCTATAAGCGCACCAACGATGGAACATAACGCCATTCGGTCTCACACGGACCCACTTAGTGCCCCGGTAGTGCCCTAAACCAGTGGGAAGAGCCCATCATTGGCAGAGGCTATGCACCTAATCCTCTAAGGATTTTTGTGCTGCCCGTACTCGTTTTGCAATAGTTTTAGCCAAGTGAACAAGCTAATTACTGCTCTGAGGTTTAGTTTTCTCACCTCGTGCGGTTTCAGCTTGTTCCCGTCGAGGTCATTGTACCTTTGTTCGGCAGCGGCCTCGCATAAGCATAGAATGCCGTCTCATCTGCTTTTCGACAAAGTCTGCGCTAAAATGGACCGTAGGTCCTTCCTGTTGAGTGCTGATGTTTCTCTCGCTTTTTGTAACGTGGCCCTGATGAATAATTTGGCCTGTCATGTCGTTGTCTTAAAAGTGACGGAGGATGAGAAAATACATTTTAAAGGACAGAATCAAGGAGAGGCTTGAATTAGGAGAAGAAGAAGAAAGTAAATACTGATTTTGTGGAGAGAAAGATATTGGCCAGCTGGTATGGGAATCAAAAGACGTAGAACAAACAATGGACCGCAGGAGAGAAATACTGAACTGAAGGTACTATGCCATTTTTTGGCAGCAGTTTTGTCAAAACCACGATAGTTTATCGTACCCACCGACAACGAGGCAAGATAATGTGCACCAGGTATACAGATTACCGTTATCATCACCTACTCGTCTCGTAATCAAATGTAAGTGTCAGGAAAAATTTTATTATTTATCCCACTTATGTTTGCAACATAAAATTTATGGGCAAAGAAAGAAGATAAAAGTGTAGGTACCACGTAGAACGAATTTATTTTTATAGCGTATCTACCTTGAAAAATCTTCACCAGTAGAAATTGGCCAGGTAAGACAAATATGTGATGTTGAACAAGGAGGGTATACCTACCTGAACACGTTACGGATAATCATACGCAGGTACTTTAAGAATCAGTTGGTGTCTAAGTTCAAGATCGTTAACATAGTACCGTTTTTGGACCGGTGCTCGCTGTCGTTTTTAGACTAGTTTTGAGTGAAAACAATTTGGTTTTGGTAAGTTTTTGTCATCTACGCGCTGGTCGCCCAAAGAAGAATTTTTGTGAAGACATTGAACCTTAAAAGTGTCATTGTTTCAATACAGTCGCTTTTTACCGCTACTTTAATTAAATGTAACAGTAAATTTGGGGTTCCAAAGTTTTTAACGGTGCGCTATTTTGTAATAGAGTAACAGACCAAACTCGTGGAAAATTAAATTAATTACACGTAGACGCATGTAGATATCTCTAAGTAAATACGATCTCTTTATTTAAAAAAGTATATATTTGCACATTATGTAAATAGGATCTAAACAGGGTTGAATGCCACTTTTGTAGCCAGTGTCATTATATGAATTGAAAATTTTCTTACGTGTCGTGTGTTATACGCTAATGATTTTTAAGAAAGAGAAAAGGAAATTAGTCAAAACAGTTATTTCTTCATGAAAAGGGTTAAGAACATTCCTGAAATGTTTCCTTATGGGGTTTAAAGCAAAAGTCCGTTGAAACGAATATTTTTTATGGAATGTCTACGCCTATAGTTTTAGGCAAAACTTTATCTCTTAGAAATAGCTGGTACAGCAATTAATTCCAAGTTTGTGAAGTTTATTAACAAATAACGTAAAAGTTGTTGCCAATAAATTAACAAAAAATTCTACAATCCTCGTTTGTAATTTATTTTACCCCTTTGTGAAGTCTCCAGCCTAACTGATGGCTGCAATAGCACGAATTGAAAATGTGCGATTAATGTAGGTTCTGGGTTCGGACTTTAAAATGTTCACAATTTCCAGTTTCTCCAATCGTAGCCCACAAAGAAAGACAAGTACTGATGAGCCAGAATCTTCTTAAGACTTAGTCTTATTTAAGGGCTGTACAAGGTCAGTTTAAACTTCAGTTTATAGTTAAATTGTGGGTTAAAAGATTTGATTGGCAAATATTGCACCAGTTGACCAATTGTGTTTCTGAAATCTGTAAACTAATCTGAAGTTTAAACCGATTGTACAATCGGGCCTTAAAGGCTTTCTTTATTACCTAGTAATTAAGAATCTTTGTTTTTAACATGATTCAGGTAGTTAGGATCACGCCAAGATTTCTCTTGGCTCAAATGCCTATATAGATGTAAATGTAAAAAACAAGAAGGAAAGCTGTTTGAGTACGAGTAATTCCGATACGAGAAAGAAGGAGGCTGGGATAGTGTAAATCAAATAATCTGGCAAATTTTGGGGATTAAAAAATTGTCTAAGCGCATGACAAACTCAAATCTATTCCGAAGATTTAAAGATTACACCCTTTTTGACGCATTTTCTAACATAAACTTCTTCACCACTTTTTAAGACGTTTACCTCGGTTATATTTACGCCTTAGTCCTCGATGCAAAAAACAATCGTGACTTTAAACGCCCTTAAGAACTCTGTAATGCCTTTATTATTCTTCAAGAAAGTTGAAGAAAATCTAGGTAAGAGAATACAAGCGTTTTTAGCCTTTAAAAAAATTAGAGCGAGTTTATCAGGGATTTTCAAGACAAAGAGAGTGGTTGGCTACTACTCTACAAACGAGAAAACACGGGATGAATTTTCGCCATGCAGACCATCTTTGGCGTTTTCTTGGTAGTGGTGCCGACTCTCAGTCACCAAAAATAAGTAGGGTAATAATAAGCGACTAATGGTAGTTTGCATCGAGAAAATTAACATGAGCTTAGCTTAAGCGTAGCTTAAAATCCATAGCAATCATTATCGCAATAATCGTTGCCATGGATTTTAAGCTACGGTTAAATTTGTCGGTCATGACACTATTATTATTATACAAGGCTCTTCTAGAGTTTTCTGAGGTGTTCTGCAGTCTAGCCTTCAATAGCCTTTAAAGCTATTTTGTAAGAGCTTTCTAAGAGCTTTTACACTTCAAGAAGTTGCAAGAGTTAGGGAGTCATCAAAAGGTGGCTCTAATCTCTTTTAAAACATCTAAAAATCTTTATTAGTCCTAAGAAGTCTTGAAAGGTACCTATTTAAGAAAATTTAACATTTTTAGTGCACTTTCACTTTCAAAAAATTAAAAGTGCACTTTTGCGCTCTTGATGTCTGTCTGTCTGTCTGAGTCACAAAGGCTCCGGAACTACACCACTTACAGACTTTGTATTGGTGTCATTCGATCAGAAATTAAGAATTATTTCATGTTTGTAATCTCATTCAATCATGAAATATCCATAAGGGCTACTAAAATCGAAAAAACAAATTTTGAAAGTGCACTCTTCGCCTCTTGCTCACAAGCGGCTATGAGTCCCTAAGGGTTTGCAAGAGTCGTCAATAGTCTCACGACCTTGGGAGATCTCTAAAAGCGTTTAGTTTGTTGCAGTAAAGTGTTCACTACCCACCAATCCCTCAGTATTCTCATTCTTTCTTCCTCTGAAGCCCCTTCTAAACACTACCGGTATCCCGTTTAACCCAATAGCCAGTCTGCATATCTCTTATAGCCGCCTTTATTTATTTCTCATTAGCTTTATATAACTTTTCTACTTATTTAGTACTTGGTTATCCTCTGTTATAGTCCCTTTTCGTTCCTCGCTTTCAATGTCAATAGCTATCTTGCTTTGAGTGTTTTCTTTCTTCCACATGCTCTTACCTTGTTGAAAACGTTGTCGTATTTTCCTATTTAATCGAGTTCTTCTATCTCCTTGCATTCATTTAGTATCCATTGTTCCCTCAACCTTTACTATCTCTTCTTAATTCAGTTGTCGGTTTTTTCCCTCTGACGTATGCCGCTTATACTGCCTCTTTTCTGCCATCTTTTCAACCATTTCACTTTGATATCGCATACGTCATGCTCTTCTGTAGTTTTATGAATCTTACTTGTAACCCCCTTTTCCATTTCATTTCCCTTTACCCTTCCTTAATATTTCCTATCCATCTGCCTTAATTTTACCAGATTGCATTCCATTACTCCTTTTGTGACTTGAATCCTTTTCAATGTTATTTTCAACTCTGCGACCAAAGAACATGATCACTATTAATATCTGCACCTGGCAATCCACAGGCATTTTTAACCTATTTCTGTATCTTTCTTCAATCATGATGAAATCAATCTGCTTCTGATATACGTCTTCCAGGTGTAAAATTTCCTTTTATGACTTCTCCAATACTGGCGTTCCAGGGAAATACCACTACTATAATAGGGTGCTCATCCGCCACCCGAAGGGACCGTTGGCGCTTGGTAGGGGGTTTACTTCTTATTCCGGAAGTCCCTCGGTCGCCATATGTGTGGTCGTACGGTCGTGTTATTTTCTAATGGTAGGTACACCGGATTGGTGGAAGTTAACTTGGAAACCAAGGTGATGAATTGCTCTTGCTGGACACAATTATGACAGTATTATTGTAACCATAGCAAAATCTATTATTTCGATTAAACCAATCAGCTCAATAATAAAATGGAAAAAACATGGCCGACATGGAACATTATGGCCACACTGTCCTTTATTTATTTATTTATTTATTTATTTACCCTCTCTTGTTCTGGGTCCTCAACAGGCTTGCGCCCAATTACAGAGTGACCCGCATAATGCTTTTTAGAGGTGCCTCTGCAGGAGGTCTTAAGTTGTTCTATACTACTCCGGTATTTTCCTTACGAATTAGGAAAACTGCAGGAAAACCTTATTCGGAGTAGCCGGCAGAATGCTCGAAACTGGTCTAAGGTAATTTCCATCTCTGCCACAGATGAAAAATTCACCTCAACCCAGGTTCGAACACCCGACCTCCGGATTTATAACTCAACGCTCTACCACTGAGCCATAATGCCGACCTTATTATAGTCACTGATGTAGTAATGGTTGACATTTGAATGGGAGAGGCTGTGTAAGGCGCATCCCACTCCTTACAACCTTAGAAGTATTTAGAGCCTTTAAATCCTGTAAGGTCTTTGTTGAATATGCGGCCTTTAGAGTCCTTGAGAGTTTGCCATGCAAAAATAGCTGAATAGTGCGAATATAATACTGAAAACGGGTTTAGTAATATTCTGCTACGAAGACTTTTTGTCTGAAACGAACAAACGACTGTCAGCCCACTTTTCTAACTGATATACACGTTTTGAAGCACCAGGAATCCGAATCAAACAAAATCTCGATGATGTCGGTCTGTCTGTCTGTCGGACCTCTTGTTACACCATTGTATCAGTTTATTAGTTCATTAAGAATGTTCCTTCGGATAAGTAAAATTGAAATATGATGCCTCCTATACATATCTACAAGTCTTCTACTAATCAGATAGTGCACTCAAACAATTATAATAATGAGTGATCGCATTTTCCAGATAAATCCTCGTTATACCATCGTCGATACATTCACTGCTTAGCAAATGTCACATTGACAAGAGAGAGTTAAAATTTTCGTGTTTTAATATTTGTGTTTTCTACTTAAATTCAACCCTTTTCCAATAACCCTCCATCACGTATTTATTTGGTTACAAGTAGTAAGTACCAATTCGTCAATAATTAATCGTATTTTACAAATTTTGAGTAAATGATCGATCATAGGTGTTAACTTGATTAATTTTGAGCATCTGGCATCGTAAAAGAGGGTCCTTTCTTTTTTGCATAGCATAAACTTATTTTAGATACTTTGTTTCAGGCAGCACCATGTTCAAACTAGGCACACTACTGCTAGTAACAGCATTACTCCAAACAACATATCAAAATGACTTCGAAGAAAACGAAGTCGAAACAGAATCTGGCCTCGAAGATGTGATTCAAAATTTCTTTTTATCGAAGGGCGGACAAGAGCTCGGCAAAGCCTTACTCACAATGGGCAGCGGTAACAACGCCAACGATATATTAGACGGCCTCGGTGCCATTCTCGGCAAAGGCGACGGCATCGACCCGTCCTTCTTAACGGGGGCACTTCACGCGCTGATGGAGCCCGAGGAGCCGAAGAAAAAAAGGCAGCTGAATCCCACATTCTCCTGGATACTGGAACTATTCGCGAAGGAGGGCGGCGCGGAAAATCTGATGAAATTTTTCCCCACCGTCGTGTCGGCGGTCAATTCGTTTATTACCGAAATGGGCAGCAAAGACGATCCTTCCGGGAACGGAATGTTGTACCCGTTCATCGAAAAGGGCCGGGAGCTTTTGGACACCTTTGCGGATTCCCAAACGGGCCGATCGATGTTCGAGCTCTTACGCGGTACGGAAGGGTACAATCTAGTCTCGGATAAAGATGGTAGCTTTAGCGTGGAGAAGCTGTTCGTTTTGCTCGAAAACCACTCGTTTAGAAAGCAAGGTATTGAGGCAATTACCAAGAAAATTGGCGAAATAGGCGCGCGTTTCTTTGACCCCGCCATAAGGCCAATGTGAGTATTTCGTGTTGTGTACTGTTCTTCAAACTGAAGCTTTCGTAGCCTTCTTACGACGCTCGAGACAAATATCAATGGAATGCTGAAACAACGAGGCTTTCCGAAGGATGCCGTTTTCGATCTTGAAAATCCTGTCGACAGTCTGAGCGCAATTATTAATTTCGGATTTAAGAAGGCTTTTGGGTACCAAATTAGGTCAAAGCAGTACGTAAAGCCAACTATTAAATACGTGAAGGTGTGTACGGCCGTATGCCACTGACCTAGCTGAGTTCGTTTATTGCAGAGCATTTATAATGGGGTGGTTCATAAAGGGTACTTTTCTGGAAAGAAGATGAGTGCGGCTGACTTATCGGATAATTTAGCCGATATTATCAATTTGGAAATTATTGAACCGTTTACCAGGGTTTTTAGGGCGTACAGATTTGCCAAGAAGCATACAAAATGTGACAAGTAAGTCTACGGTATGCGACAACACCTTTAATTTTACAAATTCGCAGGTACGTGATGTGCATCTTGAACAAAGACATCGTGGACAAATCGGTAAATCTGCCAATAGTAAAGACCTGGCTAACAAAGGGGGCGAGTTTAATTGGCAGTTGGTTCATCAGTAACCATACCGGTACTTCATACTGGACCTTTTACTCGTATGTGATGGACGATCTTGATTGCAAGGTACGTCTTTTGGTTTATTGAATACATAATCCTAGCGTTTATATTTGCAGAAGGTGCACTTCAAGTCTTGCGATACTTTCCACGAGGAAGAAATTAAAGCTACCACCAAATTGGTTCACACGGAATTATAGTTAATAGATTCGTTTAGTTTAGTGCAGAGTTATTGTAATGTTAAATATAGAAATTTTATTGTTGATCACTGCGATTGTGACATGCCAAAAGTACGGCAATTTTTACTTAGCTACCTACCCAATTAACTTACCCCTATAGAAATATATACCTAATACGATTTTATGGCCGAAAAGGTCTATACTATATTGGTTGTTACTATGGCTAATCATTTTGCTGAATGTAGAAAAGAAAACGAAGGAACCAAATGACGATACCTAGTAGTGTCCAACTGCAGAGGAATGCGGTTTACATACGGTTTTTGTTCATGTGATGATTTTGTTCGTCCTTCTGTCTGTTTGCTCCTCGTCGAAACCGAAAACGAAAAGAGACCGCGATATCAAACCTTCCCCAATCGATTTTTACGAGTTCAAGTATCAGTGCTACTAAATATGAGCCGGATTAAATGTTGCTAAACAGTCAAGATTGTTATAACTCTCGCCAGGAAAGATGACCGGTCACAGCACCCCTTGTGTCGATCTACAATCTATTTTTTTCTTAAGATGCGAACGATTTCCGGAATATGATCGTGTCAATGTTGAACGAAAAGACTTTTCGTTCAACATTGGCACGATCCTATCCCGGATGTCGCTCACATCTTTAGAAAAACACAGATTGTAAACCGGGATCAGGTCTTCTGTGACCGGCAATCTTTCCTGGCGAGAGGTTTAACTTAAATCCAATAATGCTATGCTTATGTTACAAATGAAACATTTTTCAAGGTTTTAGCACAGATCTAAATATCCTATTCAATCTGTGGTTTTAGTACGCTGCATAATATAGATTTTCTAATGTAACAGTTTTGAATTGCAAACCTTCTTCGCTGGTGGGTAGTTCGAAATTGGGGCATTCTAAGATATTATTTTTTCCCATGGAACCATTTTAATATGTAATGCGCCTTTTCCCGATTTTTTAAATAGTAGTATTACCTATTGATATGTCATTATGGAGTATACCTACCAGCAAAGAGTATACTCTTTGCTCAGTCATATTTACTTGTAGCCCGATTAGTCCTTTCAACTGTGGATGGAAAATAACTATCAAAGGCGGCAAGTCTATACACTGCTGTGTGCGGCCACTACACCACTCACAAAACACCTGTCCAGATAGCTCAAAACAAATCAAAATTGAAACTTAGAATTTTACAATATCTCCTCGCTAGAAAAAAATCCTCTTTCAACTTCCGAAAATTACAAAGAATTTATTACACCCCTGAAAAAATCTACACGAATAGAAAAAAAATATGACATGAAAACTCTTTCTGGGCCGCACTTTGGATTCGAATAAACACACAATTAATTGATTGACGACGAAAATTTGTTTTAAAACACAATGAAACGAAATTCCTGAAAAACAGAAAAGCTTACAAACCCTGTTTGGTTCAGTCAAATTAATCAAGTCATTTTCCAGTGTACTACTTCGTTTCAGTCTTAAAATTAAAATTCTAAAAAGTTTTCTTCATAATCGTGCAAGATTTGCGATACTAAGCGCACTTAACGCTGACAATCCGGAACATGAGTAAAAAATGACGAGAACTGTGTCTTCAATATATCAAATAGGGCTGACTGCCCAAAATTTAGTGTAAACAGACGTACACGCTTTTAAAACGTCGAAAAACTAATAGCCGCAGCAGTCGCGTTTTTTTTTGTTGTCTCCACTATTTAAGGAAACGCCACCATCAAATAAACTCCTTTAAGAATTTTTAAATAGCTCGCCGATCAACGATGGAACGCGCCAAACGTCCCCACTTCTCCAATATGAAACGCGCAATTCTTCGAAACACCTGCGTCTTCGTTATAAATACCAAAACACGTGCGTTAATTAGATTACGCCTAGCAATAACACTTCTTACTTCCAACACCTTATCGAATTGAATAAATAATATTGAATTACGCATTTACAAAATTTCTAAGAGAAAAAACAACACTCAAATACAAATTCTAATGAAACGAACCAACTCTGTTCTTATTTGGTAAATAATCCTTCAGATTTACTACCGTAAATTGAAATATTTTCATATACATTTCCTCCCGTTCCAGACGACCTTGGATCGACTCATTTTGCTCGATACAGAAATACAGAAGGGGGTCAACTCCTTTCCAGTTCTAGCAGGGCAAATTAAATTACGTCGAAACCTGCCAAAGGAGCATAGAAACGGGTACTGCAAAATTCTGCATTTTTTCATAGAAAGCAACGTCATCCCAGAAGTTCTCCAAACCATTTACGGTGGGTATGCGCTCTTTCTAAAAAAAAGACGGAGGAATTCGTCCAATCACGAGTACCTAAACCGTTTTCGTTTATCCGCGCTAATAACAAAATTACCCATTTAATCCCATCGAAATTGAACCACACTGTACATGGCAATTAATTAGGAGGTTTCTAAAATCCTGTCGGAAACCTGTAAAATCTTTTGAAAATTAATAAATAGGTACCAAACGATTTTCAACGCTCTTAAAGGTGCCTTTTTTGCTTTTTGGATGCTCTTATAAAAGCTCCTAGCAACCATTGGCACTTACAGGCCCCTAAAGCATAAGAAGAAATTTTCAGGTGATTTTATGTAAGTTTAATGCTTATTAAAGACTCTCAAAATCTCTTTAGGTACTGCCCGTTTGAAGTCCACTAAAACGCTGTGGTGGGCATTAAAATCTCTTGAACAAAAAACACTTGATGACTCGTGGAGGTCCGTAAACATAAAGCTTTTTAAAAATTCTTTGTAGACTCTTCCATTTTTTAAAAGTAATAATCTTACTCCAAAATGTTCTTCCTCATAACCCTGGAGAACTCTTTTGCAATTAATTCCCTAAATAATCACAATAATAACCTGAATAGTAATAATCGGAGACGAAAGGGAATTTCAAATATACATTTACTACTTAAAGAAACTTTGTTTACAAAAGGATAGATACAGTAAATGAAATTTTATGTCTTATGACGCAACGCCTGATGATGGCAATTCTAGCCGAAATCGATAGCAATAAAGAAAAATAATATAAACGTTATTATTACTAATTATTAAAACAGTAAATGAGGTTTCAAGTAAAGAAACGTTGGCAATTAGTAACAGCAACAAGGTATTCCCACATCGCACCACAAAACAAAGTTCTCTCACTGATTTGCTAAACACAATATTAGTCTCTTAGGAAATAAAAATACGCTAACACGCGCTGAGAGCGTTGTATTTGCAAGACAAAGCCTAATGAACTCTATTAAGTTCAATTTCACTCTTGTTTGTCCCATGCAATCCTATTATTTAAATTGCGCTTTCATGTACACAAACGATGTTTATCGTCTTCTTAATATACCACGCAAAATTGGTAACAGAAACAAATTAAATATTTAGAAAGCGATAAGCTAATTATTTACAAATCCAAGTGGTTTGCAAGAATGAATACAGATTAGTCTAACAAAAGTCGCCGCGAATGTAAAACTAAAGTGTGTGATCCTGTTCGAAGATATTCACCATGGAGAAAATTAAGGTAGGACCGATTGTGGACATTTTGGGAGATGAGATGACGAGAATTATTTGGGAGGAAATTAAGGAGAAGCTCATCTTCCCGTATTTGGATATCGATCTGCACATTTACGATCTGGGATTAGAAAATAGGGACAAGACAAACGATCAGATTACGATAGAGTGCGCGGAGGCGTTAATGAGGTTTAACGTTGGTGTTAAGTGCGCGACGATTACTCCCGATGACAAAAAGGCGAAGGAGTTTAACTTGAAGAGAACATGGAATTCTCCCAACTGCACCATTAGGAATATACTGGGGGGTACCGTTTTTCGGGAGGCGATAATATGCAAGAATATTCCGCGGTTCGTGACCTGCTGGTCCAAACCGATCGTGATTGGGCACCACGCCCATGCAGATCAATACAACGCGACCGATTTCATCGTTCCGTGCCCCGGTAAGCTCGAGCTGGTCTACAAACCAAAGGACGGCAAAGAAGAACGTTACATGGTACACGATTACAAAGCCGCAGGAATTGCTATGGGGATGTTTAATACTGACGCATCCATAATCAATTTTGCCCATTCCTCTTTTCAGTACGCTTTAGAGCGTAGTTACCCCTTATTTTTAAGCACCAAGAACACTATTTTGACGCAGTACGTATACACGTATCATCCGTTTGTGGTATGCATTGAATATTTACAGATATGACGGGCGGTTCAAAGACATTTTCCAAGAGCTCTACACCCGGGAGTACAAGAAACAATTTCGTGCAAAGGGCATCTGGTACAAGCACTACTTAATTGACGAAATGGTCGCTTACGCGATACAGTCAGAGGGCGGTTTTGTCTGGGCGTGCAAGAACTACGACGGTGACGTACAGTCGGACTGTGTCGGCCAAGGGTATGGATCGTTGGGATTAATGACTTCGATATTGGTCAGCGCCGACGGGAAAACAGTTCAAGCCGAAGCAGCCCATGGTACCGTCACCCGTCATTTCCCAATCTACCAGAAGGGCGGAGAAACGTCCACCAACTCTGTCGCGTCTATTTTCGCTTGGACGCGCGGTTTGCAGCACAGAGCCAAATTGGACGACAATCAGAAATTGCTCAGGTTCACGCAGATCCTGGAAACCGTTTGCATTGAAACCATCGAATCTGGTTTTATGACCAAAGATTTGGCAATGTGCGTGCGAGGGAAGAGAAACATACAGCGATCTGACTACATGGAAACTTTTGAATTTATTAATAAAGTTGCGGAAAATCTAAAACACAAACTATATACATAAAGCTTACAATGTATTCCTCATATTTCTACTTATCTTGTTATACGACAGTAGTGGTAATTATGAAAGGGCTACTGAGTATACCTAATTAGCTTACAAACAATAATAAGTACTATGTACATACCTATAATTTGAATGATTGTGACAGCGTTTATAAACTCTTAATCGATATTAAACGTAAACATTTATAACCATTTTATTTACTTACTCTAAGAGCAAAGGCCGTTTAGCAAGGGTTAGGAGTTCGAGACGAGAAAATAAATTTGCGCTCGTAAATGTTTGCCTAATGGTTCTTTGCCAGGGCCAGGATACATAACAAACACTCTTTTATTATAACTAATTTGAAAGAAACAGTAACAGGGTAAATATTTATGCCCTTGAGCTGGGTTATGAGCCTTCTAAAATAATTAATTTAAACAAACACACTACAAACAAATATTTACTTAAGGTATTTATACTTGGGTTTCCTAATTTTTTTTAGAAAATCAAAGTCATCCAGTTTAAGCACCTTTCTGGATCAAACCATAATGGATTCACAACATACAATATAATACAATTTAATTCCATAATCTACACTGCATAAAACAATCGGAAATAAAGGCCAAAAGTAATCCCGAATTGCGGGGGTAGTTACCCTTGTGGTGCACCAAATATTCTTCTTTCTGTAATCTGTATGATTTCATGGATGTATACGAGCAACCCTCTAATGCCACCGTAAGAGTAAAATTCCTTCCCTTACTGAAACTACGAATTTTTTTATGTAATTCGTCTTTATACGTATAGCAATGCCCAATTGCGGGGGTGGTAACTTTAGTGGTGCACCAAATATTTTTCTTTATGAATTTTCTTTCGAAATTGGTTTCTCGTCTATAACTTTTGATTGAGAAGTCTAATCGAAAAAGTACGAATTGTTTTGGATTCTACGCAACAAAATTAATAAGAAAAAGTGTTTTCCCGAGAAAATTTGGTGCAGTCGATTTTTGGTAAAAAAGGAAGGTTATACACTGCCTTTTTTTAAGGCCCGAAGAAAAAATTGTCACAGGTCGACCCGGAAACAAAATTTTCTTATAGAATGTGGCCTATAGAATCCATAATTTCAAAGAGTTTCAAGATTGGGCTACTAGTTCAAAAGTTAAAGCCCTTTGAATTTTCTTTCGAAATTGGTTTCTAGTCTATAACCTTTGATTGAGAAGTCTAATCGAAAAAGTACGAATTGTATTGGATTCTACGCACCAAAATTAATAAGTAAAAGTGTTTTCCCGAGAAAATTTGGTGCAGTCGATTTTTGGTAAAAAAGGAAGGTTATTATACACTGCCTTTTTTTGAGGCCCGAAGAAAAAATTGTCTCAGATCGACCCGGAAAAAAATTTTCTTATAGAATGTGGCCTGTAGAATCCATAATTTCAAACAGTTCCAAGATTGGGCTACTAGTTCAAAGGTTACAGCCCTTTGAATTTTCTTTCGAAATTGGTTTCTAGTCTATAACTTTTGATTGAGAAGTCTGATCGAAAAAGTACGAATTGTTTTGGATTCTAAGCACCAAAATTAATAAGAAAAAGTGTTTTCCCGAGAAATTTTGGTGTAGTCGATTTTTGGTAAAAAAGGAAGGTTATACACTGCCTTTTTTTTGGCCCAAGAAAAAAATTGTCTCAGATCGACCGGAAAAAAAAATTTTCTTATAGAATGTGGGCTGTAGAATCCATAATTTCAAACAGTTCCAAGATTGGGCTACTAGTTCAAAAGTTACAGCCCTTTGAATTTTCTTTCGAAATTGGTTTCTANCCCGGAAAAAAAATTTTCTTATGGAATGTGGCCTGTAGAATCCATAATTTCAAACAGTTCCAAGATTGGGCTACTAGTTCAAAAGTTTCAGCCCTTTGAATTTTTTTTCGAAATTGGTTTCTAGTCTATAACTTTTGATTGAGAAGTCTGATCGAAAAAGTACGAATTGTTTTGGATTCTACGCACCAAAATCAATAAGAAAAAGTGTTTTCGCGAGAAATTTTGGTGTAGTCGATTTTTGGTAAAAAAGGAAGTATTCGAATACTTTACGAAGTATCCAAATACTTTGCGAAGTATTCGAGTAGACGACTTTGGGCGCCCAAAAGTTTCTTACAGCGCGAATCGCGGTCTCTCTTTCTCGTGTCACTAATAGAAGGTCGAGCTATGTGAAGTACCCAAAAGTTGAATACGATTTTATGCCGGGATTTTAGCGAAATCTACCAAAATATGAATTACGAATGAACGGGACGTCGGAACTGTGTATCGACAAAGGGAATGTGGTAACCCCCGACGAGATCTTACTGATGGTGGAGTCGAAACTTCAAATCCGAATTGTTGCCGGGTGATCAGAAGTGGGTGTCGACAAAGGGAATATGGTAACCCCCAAAGGATTTTAATGATGGTGGAGTCAAAACTTCAAACGCGAATTGCGAGTGCACGGTAAGTGAGAAAATGGTACCGACAAAGTGAACGTGGTAGCTTTCGGCAAGATCTTATTGATGGTGGAGTCAATATTGGCTAATAAAACACTGATCTGCCACACAAAAATGCGCTGAAGTCCCTTCGATCTCACACGAGGACTTTGATCATTTTTAATGTAATTCGTCGGTATAGGTTTAGCAATGCTCAATTGCGGGGGTGGTAACTTTAGTGGTGCACTAAATATTTTTCTTTATGTAATCGCTATTGTTTGACAGATGTGCAAGCAACCCTCTAAAGTCACCGGAAGACTAAAATTCCTTCCCTTACTGAAACTACGAATTTTTAGCGCATTTTTGCAAATTTATTTGTAAAAAGTAGCTTTTAATCTCACTTTGGCTGGCTGGCTGGCTGGCTGGCTGGCTGGATGGCTGGCTGGCTGGCTGGCTGGCAGCAAATGTGGGCGCGTAGAAGAACTCTTGTAGAAAGGCAACGGGTGTACGTGTATCTACAGGGCCGTTAAATTTGTCAACCTTAGGGACATGGCTACATGATGTGGGGTTGGCGACATCTGGGCGTCATCCTCGAGCGTAGTATACTAACGTGAAGGTTTTTCAGTTTTTTCCTATCTTCTACGACAGTTTTGGTCCGATTCTTTTCAAATTGGTGTCGTCGGAAAGATGTTGTAAACGCGCACAACTCCTGCGTGGCGGAATTTTGTTTTTTGTCATAGGGGCGAAATTAACGACCTTTTGCGAGGCGCGCGCGCGCGTCTTCGAGAAGTAGTCAACTTCGGCCGCCTTTTACCTTCCGTTGCGAACTCACGCGGTTTAACGTTTCGTAAATCTCGAATCGCTGTCTCTCTTTCTCGTGTCGCCAATGGAAGTGAATAGCGAGTGAACGGGACGTCGGAAGTGGGTACCGTAAAAGAGAATGTGGTAGCCCGCGACACGATCTCACTGATGGTGGAGTCAAATCTTCAAACGCGAATTGCTGGTGAACGGGACGTCGGAAGGGGGTACCGTCAAAGGAAATGTGGTAGCCCCCGACACGATCTTCCTGATGGTGGAGTCAAATCTTCAAACGCGAATTGCGGATGAACGGGACGTCGGAAGGGGGTACCGTCAAAGGAAATGTGGTAGCCCCCGACACGATCTTCCTGATGGTGGAGTCAAATCTTCAAACGGGAATTGCGGGTGAACCGAACGTCGGAAGTGGGTACCGTCAAAGGGAATGTGGTAGCCCCCGACACGATCTTCCTGATGGTGGAGTCAAATCTTCAAACACGAATTGCGGGTAAACGGGACGTCGGAAGGAGGTACCGTCAAAGGGAATGTGGTAGCCCCCGACACGATCTTACTGATGGTGGAGTCAAATCTTTAAAAGCGAATTGCGGGTGCACGAGGAAAGTGGGAAGCGGTTAGTGAATGTAGTAGCCTTTGACAAGCTCTGTTATTGATGGTTGAATCGAAAGTGGCTAATAGAATACTGATCTGCCACACAAAAATGCGCTGAAGTCCCTTCGATCTCAAACGAGGACTTTGATAATTTTTTTAATGTAATTCGTCTTTATAGGTTAATTGCGGGGGTGGTAACTTTAGTGGTGTACCAAATATCTTTTTTTATGTAATCGGTATTGTTTAATAGATGTACAAGGAACCCTCTAAAGTCACTGGAAGACTAAAATTCCTTCCCTTACTCAAACTACGGATTTTTTTAATGTAATTCGTCGTTATAGGTTTAGCAATGACCAATTGCGGGGGTGGTAACTTTTGTGGTGCACCAAACATTTTTCTTTCTGTAATGGGTATTGTTTTACAGATGTGCGAGCAACCCTCTAATTTCACCGGAAGACTAAAATTCTTTCCCTACAAATTTTTTCAGGGAATCGTAATGTCCAATTGCGGGGGTGTCCATAAAGTCCGGTTGATTAAAAATGTCCAATTGTTGGACATTATAATTCAATGATGTGAAAATTGCTAATGCATTTTAGTTTATTCGGATAACTCTTCCAAATTTCGTATCTACTAAATATAAATTAATAAATATTTGCCTACTAAAGCAATGACAATATGAAGATTGTTTATTTTCAGTCTGATGTGACGCATAATTTAGCATGTGATCTATTTATATTCTAGGAGCCTACATTGAACTTAACAATCAAAAGGCATGGAATTGTAATGCCACTTACTTACTCTTACTTATTTGCTTTGTGTACTTATTAAAATCTGGGTGTTTTTTAATGTTCATTTCAAAGTGTAAAATTTCTGAAAGAAGCACAATGAAACTGATAAAATACCCAATAGCAAGCGCAACGAGTGCGCCCATAAACTTCTGCATATCCATAACCGCTTTAACAGCCTCGCTACCCTGATAGTGCACCTCATCATTTGCAGTCTGTTGCATGATATCATCCAACCATTTCTTCACCAATCCCACCTCAAAGATTCGCCTTACTAACGTATCGACGCGATATTTCAGAGGCGAATTTTTCTTAAGCCCTATGGATATCGGCATATGTATCATGCAATCGCTCATAATGTGCAAGTAATGATCTCCTTTCGGTATCTTCTGAATTTGTAAGCTCTTGTTCCCTTTTAACTCGTCCTCCTCCTGCTGATATCTTAGCTGCTTTTTAACCACGGCATTTTGAAGGTAGTACTCGTTTTCGTAGAGTGCGAAGTTGCCCTCAACTACGCGATCGATGGCATCATCGGAATCGTTTAGTTTTTCAAATCTCGATCCGATGATTTGGGTGGGGACGTCGAGCGAGGTCCTGAAAAATTCCACATTTACTTCGCCCCAACCGCCCACTGCGAGCTTGCTGTTGATCAACTCCTGGAGTGTATCGATTGTCACCCTCGACTCCGGCTTTGCCAGAATCGCGGTCATGCTAGCCTTGTAGGCGACTACAATCAAAATGCAGTAGATCCAATACCAGCCTGTTAGTACACGAATTGACCATCCCGTTGGTAGTTTTGGTAGTGCGATGACTAAGAGCATTCCATACGTATACAAAATACTGCTACCGATTTTTCTGAAAAGGTATAATCCAACGGGTTCGCCTTCTACCGTTGGCAGAAGATATTGTTTCTTTAGCTCGCCGTAAGTCTGCTTCGGGTTGAATCTTTTACTCGCAGCCACTTGATCCAGCTCATTTTTTAACGCCAGTTTCTGAGCTTGGAGCTCTTCATATTTCAGCTCATTTACTTTATCGTGAAAATAGCACAAAGCGTGAAAGAAACCGGCCATTAAGCCTAAGCTGGACAAGATGGCTAGCCACAGTTGCAATCTAAAAGGGAGTATTAACGTTTTCCAGGAATTAGTGGTGAGCGATTCCGGTGTTAGGAACGTTAAACACTCTGTATTGTACGGTACCGATAAATCCATTAGTTTAAGAAAGAAGTGCGTATATTGTAGATCGCCCAAAGCCATATCGGCCCGGTTTGCCACCATTTCGCCGAGAATCCCCGTGTATTTTCCGTCCGGCCCTTTCGCCCCCCACAGTTCGGTATCCACATCTTTCGGTTCGTATATTTGGGGTACAAAATTCATCGATACAGCCAGTGTTTCAAGGATCTGAAGGTTGAAGTTAATTTTTGTGACTTTGTTTAATTACCAACTTCAATTTCGATTCCTTGAAAAGTTCTGGAATGAGTACTCAACGACGCTCTATGCGATTTGAGAGGACATGTCTTCTTCTTCACACTCGCTGGTAAGTGAGAAAATACCGTAATGTGTAGAGTTTGATTCTTTAAATCGATGGTTTTGTCTTTGTATAGTTCAATATCTGCAACACAATGTGAGTGTAGGCTATACACTTGTCAACGGAAGTACCTGAATGCAATGGCGTGCCTCTCCAAATAGCTAAGCGTCTAGGAACCATTATGGCTTTTATAGGAAATGGAAAGGGTACTGTTGATAGCTCATACAGTAAAACCTCCTCTTCTGTTTGGCCTTTTTTCCTGACTAACTCCTTTATAAAGATGACGTTAATGATCTTCTCCCATAAATAGTGAAGATCCATTTGAAATAGCCGATAATCGTGCAGTATCAAAAATCTTGCACGCGTATTTACAGTTCGATATCTAAAAAAAATTGTTTAAGATTAAAAAGTGCGAAGATGGGATAAGAAATTGTTTGATAAAGGAGCAAAAATGAAATTACTTATGCTGGGTAGGGTTTTCTCCTCACCTTTCGCCGTACTTCAATAAACGTGACGATTGAATAGCATTAGAAATTAAAATAATATAAAATTCGCATCCATGTTCCGAAGAGACTTTCAGTACATCTCGACTGGCGTCAGCAGGAGCCAGGAGATCTTCGGATTCTTCGACAATAACCTGAAACGAAATTATACCTTCACCTTGTTACAGAAACTACATAAACGCACTATGAAATGAGCAAAGTGAGAGCGAGCTCCAGTAAAGTATTCCCAATCTAACATCTTGTAGTAAATATGGTCGCAGATAATGACTACGCATTTCTTTTCCATAGAACTTGCAATAACGTGTCTAATCAAGGCGTTGAAGCTGCTTTCCTTAGCATTAGAGGGATTAATATTGAAATTTGCGAAATAACGCTTCGATTGTATTACTGTAAGGTTAAAGAGCAGAATTGTAAAAATTCCGCACTTCATTTTAAACCATCCGAACTCTTAACTACAAATGGAGTTGAAAGGTTAATTTGACCTGTTTTCTTTCGATTGTTTTGTTAATATTTGATTTCGTAGTTACTTTTTTATTTACAGTTAATTACGTTTGGAACAGTCTCACGAAAATTATACGTAAATATTTATAATTTTCTGAGAATAGTCAATTTCAAGTCACTAACGATTTTCAGTAAAATTAGGTTGGCGAACGGATAGGCGAATAAGCAAAGCTTTCACAGTAGCCTTTTTTATGGCAACTGAAAGGTCCTAAGATTTCATTTATAGGGATGTGAAATTCAGCTGTTTGAAAGTATAACCATATTCAATGGTATAACTTGATTTCACGTATAGTATTTTTTTAGCGACACACAGCCTTAAGAGGGATGCATTGACCCCTACAAAAAAACCTCACACAAGCATTGCCGTTAAAATATAGGTTGGGAATCAGATACAGATCGATTATGGAAACAACAGTAGGTAAAGTGAATTCTTCAAATCCGGCCGAAGGATAAGGTTGACGCAAGTCGACAGGAAAAAGGTGTTTCTTTTAACAGGCTTTTTGGCCTGTAGAATAAAAAATTCCGTAATTTAAGTATGGGAAGGAATTTTATTCTTTCTGTGAAATTAAAGGGTTTCTCGTCGATGCTTCAGACAATACCGAGAGAAAAATTTTTTTTTTGTGCCACTAAAAGTACAACCTCCGCACCTGAGGATTGCTGTCTTTTAAAAAGAGAAATTTTCTAAAAAATTACGTACCTATATTAGTATAGCGATCGTAAATTACGGGGGGTTGCAACTTTTGTAATGCAGCAAAATATTTTTGCTTTGTTATCGATCTTCTATGGGAGAGTTACCCAGGAGCCCCCTAAAAAGTAAAATTTCTTCTCGTCTAAAACTTATTATTATTATTGCGGGACTTGTGCATTTGTGGTCCATCAAATTTTTTGTTTATGGAAATGATATTGCTTGAAGTGTACAAGAAAACCCTCTAATTGCTCGTGATAAACAAAATCCCTTCCCATTTTACAATTACGTAATCTTCTTCTTCTTCTATTTGTCACGGTATTTATGGTCGCATTCCTCCGAAACGCCTCGACTGATTTTTATGATTTTTTGTACCTACAGGGTGATTCCTATAGTACCTGCCACCGTTTGGGAGCGTATAGGGGGTGCCTAGGGGAGTATTTTGATATAGGACACTTGGGGTCGGAAATCTAAAATAAGGGCGCCAGAACCAAATTTATCTTCTGGAATTTCACGCCCGTATGTAGGCAACCCAACCGACCGACGTTTCGCGCGGAGCGATGCAGAGCGAGTTAGCGCGAGGAAGCGACATGGGAGGGAAGGAGGGAAAACGACAGTCAAAAGCAATAACGTTTACAAGTTTTCAACGTGGCCACCGTTGTTCTCAATGCACTTCCTACATCTAGCCAACTATTATTATACTATTGCCATAGTGTTTATTCACTTGATACGCGTCGTTGCAGACGGGATTTCGTGGGTTTAAACAAAATTCTGATCAAGTGTCAGCCACACATCGCTCCGTGTGCACCGCCGGCCGGTTGGGTTGCCTACCTACAGGCGCGAAATTCCAGAAGGTAAATTTGGCTCTGGCACCCTTATTTTAGATTTCCGACCCCATGTGTCCTATATCAAAATACTCCCCTACGCACCACCTACACGCTCCCAAACGGTGGCAGGTACTATAGGAATCACCCTGTATATTTGGTAGGTATGAGAATAGGTCGTAAAGTAGGTATATTTAATAACGTTAGGTTATTATACAGTGTGAGCAACAATGATTGAAGCGTGCGTCATCACCGCTTGTTCCTATTAATATCAAAACTACCTTCTTTGTATGGAGTTGTATACGAAAATGACGTTCTGCGCTGTCACAGTGACGTGCGTCTATTCGTATTTCGTATCTTGTATCAAATCAGCATATGCTATGAGCGGCACATTGCCAATTTAGCTGAAGCGGCACGCTTCAATCTTTGTTGCTCACTCTGTATAATTCGTGGGAAGCGCGAGGTGAGGCGGTGCAGCCGCCGAAACCGAGCGTATGTCCCATCCAAGAAAATGAGATTTCCCAAAGGTGGTACGAAGTTTGCGGTTTTTCATAAAATTCGCCTTTTAATGTATGGCAATCCTGAATTGCGGTGTAATAGCTTTTGTGGTGCATCAAATATTTCTGTTTGCGTAATTCACATTGTTTGAAGTATCTACCAGGAGCTCTTTCTGTGTCTCTGAAGAATAGCATTTTTTCCCATTTCGAAATTACTTAATTATTTGGAATATTTTATCTACACTGGTCGCCTCGGGTGGTAGGACGCGAATCCATTAAAAATCTCCCAGTCTATCTTACTTAATTAGTGATACCTACAAAATGGCGAAGTAGTCTTCTTTCATTGTTAATTTGTTGGATTAAATCCCGCCTTACGAATCAAATTAGAGTTAGGGCGATAAATAATATGCCAATTTTGCAAATTTAAGATATTGAATGCTATCACAATGGGTCTTCAAAATATGTAACTCAAATGTACCATTTAAAAAAATGAAATACGACACACTAGACTTTGTGGCTCTACCGATTTCCGAAAGCAATTAAGAATCGAGGCGCCTTAGAAAAAATGACAGCCAGTGGGATGACTGGAACCTCACCAATCGCGGCGATCAATGTATTTTAGGGCTAATATTTTCTCCACAATCTTCTTTCAATGAATATTTTGTTGCTCATAAATTATTCACTAAATATCAGTTTTATAGCGAAAAGGACATTTCCCATTTTCCAATCGTTTCCAAAATCTTCTGATCTTTTAGCACAAAATTGCAGCCAAATAGGTCTGCTCCTTAAAACTGTATATGCAATTCAATAAATATCGATTTTAGTGCCATTTTCGAATCGCTTGCAAAAGCTTTTCAGCTCTCGAGACCATTTAAGGCAGTGTTTCTCAAACTGGGGGGCGCGCCCCCCGGGGGGCACAAGGCTTTGTTAAGGGGGCGCGAGATCCCTGATGTGTTTCAGACAAATATTTACCTTTAAAATATTTATAAGTATTAGGTATTTTTATGTACACTTGTATTTGACCACTGTTTAAATACTTTACAATGATTTTTTTTTTTTTTTTGCCCACAGGACGGTAACGGCACGATTTGACGCGCGCGATAAATCGTACACGTTATTGCGACGACCAAAATTCATAAATTTGTCATACAATAAATGCAGTGGTCGCCCATTGGTTAAAAAATGCCGCGACCATATTTAAAAAGCGCGCAAATTCGTGTCGCCTGACTTTTGAACGCCAATAAGGTTAAACGATTTCTAGCCGACACGTCCAAATTATCTACGATATTTTTAGTACTGTGTTGTCATTTGGTGCGTGCTGTCTCAAAATGGGATGGACCCAATATTGCCTTTGAGTCTGGATAGCTTGCCTTCTTCGGCGCCTACCCAAAACCATCGCTAATAAAATTAATTTCCTTCGATCCATCACTTCGAAGCTTACAGCACCAACTGACTAAAATCGATCTGGCAACACGGAATATTAATCTAAACATATTCGCACGATATCTACCGCGTAGTGGGCGAGCACTTAGCGGATGCGGCGCGATATATCGCGCGCGTCAAATCGTGCCGTTACCGTCTTGTGGGCAAACGCCCTAAGAAGGTATCTATAATTCGGTAAATTCGCCTTTTTATGCTGATGAAAGCATTAATGTTGCGAGTGTGCGATATATGATATATACGGTTTCCGAGTCCCCATAATGAAAAAAACTCACCTTGTAATTTTTTTAAGATACGTTTGTAGTAACAGCACTTTTTTTAATCGGGATGGGGGGGGGGGGGTCAGTAATTTTAGTTTTATGAAAGGGGGCGCCATGGAAATAAGTTTAAGAACCACTGATTTAAGGGATCGATCGGGTAATTTCGGCTGAACCTTATTTACAAGAATAATGCCGCACGCACATATACAATATGAACATACCGACATTTTGGTAAAATCCACTTTTCCTGGGGCCTTAAAATGTAAAGATCCGGTGAAATAGAAATTTGGACTGATTTTCATAACCTCTCAATGTTTCTTTTCGTTTCTTATTTTAACCATAAATAGGTACGTTTAGTAAAGGAAAACATAGCCATAGCTTTTTGGAAACTACCGATAAATGCATGGGAAATGCGTTAAAGTTATTTGTCCTAGGACGAAAACCTTTTTTGTTGGTAGGTGACATCCCTCCTCCACCTCTCCCACCCCATTGCTTCTCTCTGTATCCCCACATAGACGGTTCTTCAAATCATCCATCATCATTTATCATCATTTGCTTTTTCGTCTTCCTCGCTTTCCTGCACCGATCCCTCCAATACGTCTCTCAACATTCTATTTCCCCTCATCACGTGCCCCCCCCCCCACCACGTTTCTCTTTCTTTTTGTAATAATGACATTTTACTTCAGTCGCTTTTATTTATTCAGAATCAGAATAGTAGTACCCACCCCTCAAATGGAAAATGGTACCACAGTTTGTGGTCTTTGACATTGGCGATTTAAGGCTACGAAAATGCATAATTACTCCTCCATGGGGGGGGGGGGGGCGGATATCCAAAGTCACAATTTTGAAAGTAATGCCGTTGCGTTCCTTTCTTTTAGAATGACGTTTATTTCAATATTTTAAAATCAAACCTTCTCTTGCGGTTAGTATTTATTTCAAGGATACTTTCTGGACTGGACTGCAGTTATTGCCTCAACTTTGGTGTTGGTGGTGAGGCTTCATACAGTAAATCTAAAAATACAGAAAAATGACTTGATATTCCATGCGTTGATATTTGAAGAGGATTATGTAGGTAAAGATATAAATGGAGGGTGCGTGTTTGGTACACTAAAAAGATGTAGAAGAAGAAAGTGACAAAATGGCGAATAAAAGACGAATAATGTAGTGAAGTATGAAAGAGGGTTAAAAAGGATCCTTTACGAATATTGGCTTGAGGTCATGAG